CTGAATACTAACACATGATGCGAAATGAAAATAGAATCGCAGACCCCATCTTCGCCCTCACCATCGGCACCTCGGCTGCATTATTGCGCATTCAGCGCGACCAGCGCGAAAAGTTCCCTGATCAGGCTAAGAATATTGGTATTGGACATGTGGTTTCGGTGGGCGCGGGGAGAGTGAGGAGGTGGTGGGCGGGGGATTTTGAGGGGTTGTGATTTTCTCTCTCTCTCTCTCTCTTATACCTACCTATACACCCTGTTGCTCGATCACTGGGGACATTGGTTGGTCCTTTTTTATCACTGTTGGGGGTGGTGCTGGTGGTGCTGGGGTATGATACTTTGATGAGTGAGTGGTGGTGTGCATTGGGGAAGATTTGGGAATTGGATCAATGAGAAGGTGGATGTGTTATTGGTGGGGAAGGTGTGAGGATTATGTTTATTTATGGGTTGGATGGGTGAGGATGTGTGTATATGGAAAATGTATATTATGGGTGGGTTGGGTAGGGCGTTGAGGGTTTCTTTGTTATTACCAGTCACTCTGTGGGATTGAGCGATGTTTACTGAATACATATGATGCGATGATTAAGATATTACCAGATCATTATAAGTACTGACTAGGATCTTGATAAAATTCGACTAAGTGGAGGGTCTAGACAAGAAAGTTCTGATGGATACAACAAAGTTCAACTTCAAGTGAACAATGAAGTGGGCAGATTTTAACATGAAAAGTCGACTGTATCTACAACTGCACGGATTGAATTAAAGTAATGTATTCGTCGAAAGGAAACTTTTTCCCTCCCAGAGTCTGCAGAGCAAGTCATCATGCAGTAACAACTAGCAACTCGAATCTATGCATAGACAAAGAAAAAGTGATTCCCATAAATTCGTTAACATGATACTAGGAAAAAGAAACAAGCAAATCCATTAAAACCGCTCGCCTATCTGCAAACGGCTGGAGGTATAATGAAGAAAGAACAAGAAAAGAATCGAGACCGCAGCTGGTTAAAGCATTTAGTCGAGCTCCTCAGGGCGCTCCTCGACCTCGTCAGCAGTGCGGGTAGCACCGGGGGCAGCACCGCCGGGGGCGGCACCAGCAGCACCACCGTAGGCAGCGGAGATGATGGGGTTGGCAACACTGTAAGTCAAAAGTTAGCGTCATGATTCAAATTGTCTTTTTTTAGAATGAAAGGAAAGGATGAACATACCCCTCAAGCTCCTTCTGCTGAGCCTCGTACTCGTCCTTCTCGGCGGTCTGGTTGCTGTCGAGCCAGCTGATGACCTCGTCAACCTTGGAGGTGACCTTCTGCTTGTCCTCATCGCTGATGGTGAGCTTGCCCTCGTTGATGGTGTTCTTGAGGGAGTAAGCGTAGGACTCGAGACCGTTCTTGGCCTGGATACGGGAAGCCTCAGCCTCATCCTCAGCCTTGAACTTCTCGGCCTCAGCAAGCATGCGCTCGATCTCCTCCTTGGAGAGACGGCCCTTGTCGTTGGTGATGGTGATCTTGTTGGTCTTTCCAGTGCCCTTCTCGATGGCAGAGACGTTCATGATACCGTTGGCATCAAGGTCGAAGGTGACCTCAATCTGGGGAACACCACGGGGGGCGGGGGGAATGCCAGTGAGCTCGAACTTTCCGAGCAGGTTGTTGTCCTTGGTACGGGCACGCTCACCCTCGTAGACCTGGATCAGGACACCGGGCTGGTTGTCGGAGTAGGTGGAGAAGGTCTCGGACTTCTTGGTGGGGATGGTGGTGTTACGCTTGATGAGAGCAGTCATGACACCACCAGCGGTCTCGATACCCAGGGACAGAGGGGCAACGTCGAGCAGGAGGATCTCGTTGGTGGACTTGGAGGAAGTGTCACCGGACAGGATAGCAGCCTGGACGGCAGCACCGTAGGCAACGGCCTCATCGGGGTTGATGGACTTGTTGGCGTCCTTGTTGAAGAAGTCGCTGACGAGACGCTGGATCTTGGGGATACGGGTGGAACCACCGACCAGGACGATCTCGTGGACGGAGGACTTGTCGATCTTGGCGTCACGGAGGACACGCTCGACGGGCTCCATGGTGGAGCGGAAGAGGTCCTGGCAGAGCTCCTCGAAACGAGCACGGGTGATGGAGGTGTAGAAGTCGATACCCTCGAAGAGAGAGTCGATCTCAATGGAGGTCTGGGCAGCGGAAGAGAGGGTACGCTTGGCACGCTCGCAAGCGGTGCGGAGACGACGGAGAGCACGAGCGTTGGAGGTGAGGTCCTTCTTGTGCTTGCGCTTGAACTCGTTGACGAAGTGGTTGACGAGGCGGTTGTCGAAGTCCTCACCACCCAAGTGAGTGTCACCAGCGGTGGCCTTGACCTCGAAGATACCCTCCTCAATGGTCAGGAGGGACACATCGAAGGTACCACCACCAAGATCGAAGATGAGGACGTTGCGCTCACCCTCGGCCTTCTTGTCCAGACCGTAGGCAATGGCAGCAGCGGTGGGCTCGTTGATGATACGGAGAACGTTCAGGCCGGCAATGAGACCAGCATCCTTGGTGGCCTGACGCTGAGAGTCGTTGAAGTAGGCGGGGACAGTGATGACAGCGTTGTTGACGGTGCCACCGAGGTAAGCCTCAGCGGTCTCACGCATCTTGGTGAGGATCATGGAGGAGACCTCCTCGGGGGTGAACTGCTTGGCCTCGCCCTTGAACTCAACCTCGACGATGGGCTTGCCACCCTTCTCGACAACCTTGAAGGGCCAGTGCTTCATGTCGGACTGGACCTCAGCGTCGCCAAAACGACGACCGATCAGACGCTTAGCATCGAAGACGGTGTTGTGGGGGTTCATGGCGACCTGGTTCTTGGCGGCATCACCGATGAGACGCTCGGTGTCGGTGAAAGCCACGAAAGAGGGGGTAGTGCGGTTACCCTGGTCGTTGGCGATGATTTCAATGCGGTCATCACGGAAGACACCCACACAGGAGTAGGTGGTTCCCAAATCGATACCGACAGCGGGGGCCATGATGAATGTGTGTGTATGTGTGTGATGTGTGTAAGAGGAGGTTCGTTAAGGGAGAGAGAAGAGGGAGAAGGGAATTCGTTAGGAGAGAGTAGTGTACAAAACACAAAAGAAGAATGGGAAGATTGGGGTATAAAGAGGAAGAGATTGATGGAGAGAAAAGAAATCGAGAGGGCGAGAATTTGTGCGAGAGCGAAAGCTGATATAGTGGCGGGCGGTGAGCTGCTGCTCCAGCGAAGCTTCTAGCAATTGCCCGTTTCGATGGGCATCCATCGGGTTCGACTGGCTTCCATCCGTGCCCCAGTCCTGCCCAGCATTCACTCGACCCTTCGAGAATTCACTCGTCAGGGTTTAGGGGAGAAGAGAGGGCACTGGCATGATCTGGGGGAGGAGCTACCATCTAACACTAGTTACTATCTCCCTCCCTCTCTCTCTCTCTCTCTATGATACTACGATCTACTTCCCTGCAGCATTGAAGATGGATAGATCTAGAATGACTCTTTGAGGGGATTTTTTTGGTGGGCGGTTGGCGGGGTAATCCGGATGACGTAATGGGCAGAATTCGAATTTTCTTTGACATTTTATTTTTGATTTGATTTTAATTTTAGTGATTTCACGATCTTTGGTTCACAACCATGACTCACTCGCGTGTAATTCACTATTTTGAGTTATTCTTCTTAGTTTACCATGTTAGTAGTGTTTTATTATTATCTCACGATGCTACTGTTTCCCAAAGAATGAATCCCCAAATGAATTGCCGCCCAATCCCCCCTCTTCAATTCGTGACCTGAATTTCTGTGCAGATAGTAGTAGAAGAAGTGCGAATTGTACAACATAGCTTACTCTGTACTCAATTCTCACCCTGTTTGGGGAAGTTTTTAGACATCCATGGAATTGGGCAGAATAGAGGCCGTCATAATGACGCTGGTTCATATCATTTTCTTCTCTGCTTTCTGCTTTCTTCTCCTTCGGAGAATTTCGATGGATTTTCCATTCTTCCATTCTATGCATTCTTGGCCAGTCCAGAACTGTCACATGATTTGAATCACTCTTGACAGGGTACCTGGCACAACAATTAGTTAGTTATAACTAACAATTCTAGCCCCGCCCCTTTCCACCAGAGCCATCTATCACTCCAGCAGTAATTCTCAAGAATACTCCTTCAAATAATCCATTACATTCCGCCTCATATCATTCCTCTTTTTTGTAGCTATATACATCTTTTTCTTGAGAAACTTCCACTCCAGCTACTCTTGCTGCTAAATCTTCCCCGCGATCAAAATCCGTTGTCTGAGAAACCACCGCTGCACTGCACTCAAAACAAGATTTATGTTGTTTGTCACTCTGCCAATCTGCAGCAGTACTAGTAGACCAAGCTCATGTCCATTCGTAGTGACTATGTCTGATTATAGAAAGCAGTAATGGCAACTCCCTTGATTGCAGGGCCAGAACTTCCTAACATTGTTTGTTATGAGCCCTCCCAACAGGGCAAAGCCCCATCACGGGAGCTGCAGCTGATCGCCACCCCTGGCAACCAATCATCGCCCCAATGCCCGCCGAGGTGAATCTCCCCTTGCGACAGGAACTGATCTTGCCTTGAAGAGTGAGAGAGAGACAGAGAGAGAAGTGTTATCCTCGCTGCCCTTGACACCGCTACCTACTTAAACTCCACGCTTCCTGCTATCCCCTGGTTTCGAATTTCCTGTTCCTTACGAATTTTCTCTTCCTCTGGAGTGTTTCCTTTCCTACTCGATTGGCTTTGCCTTCACTTCCAACACTCCTACCAGTCCATCTTCATAACCACCTCCCGTGTGCTACCACTACTCCTCTTCTTCTTCATTCATCATGGGTGACAACAACCAAGCTACCACCGGCTTCGACTCTGCCGCCAATGCTCCCGATGCTGCTGCCTGGGACAAGGGCAAGGGCAAGGCCACAGACCCCGCTCAAGACATGCGCATGGACGATGATGAGAGTGACGAGAGCGAGGTCGAAGAAATGGTGAGTTTCCCTATTGTCCACTGACTAGATCTTCAAACAATGGGGCATGTCCAGCTGACTGATTCCTTCTCTGTTCCGTTTAGGTCGATGATGGTATGATGCCCTGACTTTACTCTCCGTTCTTTGGACACGGATCTCGTCCTCCCTAGCTTGAACCCCATGCTAACTGCGCATCTTCACTGCCAGAGGACGATGAAGACAACGACAACCTCGAGCCCATCTCTTCTGAGAACATCATCTCCGGTGGCCGCCGTACACGCGGCAAGAACATTGACTTCCAAGCCGCCGCTGAGAGTCTGAAGGATGATGGCATGGACGAGGATGATGACGAGGACGACGACTACGTTGGCGCTGGTGATGACGACGAGGACAACAAGATGCAGGATTAGATTTTTGGATCAATCTACGACGATACCAACACACACTTAGGGGCGGCGAGCGCACATGGGAATTGGGATGGATAGGCGCAGGGTCTGTTTTGAGGGTTTCTTCGGTTCCTTTATGCCGGTTACACTTTCATCTCTTAATCATATTATGATGTTCTTCTTTTCCAGGTTTTGGGATGGATACGGATCAGTATGATTGCCTATGCGTTTTTTCCTTCCAATGTTTTCCCGATAGGCAAACCCTGGACCCTTTTTTTGTTTGGGCCAGGGTTCGGCTGCAACTATCGCCTCGCAATGGGGTTCAACTGAGCTATCACCTCCATTCTTAACTCACCTCATGATCTTCAGAGGAGATCTATATGCAAATACCTCGATAATAAAAAAGAACCCATGTACATTGTACAAGCAATTTTCTTCATAATGTAGAGTTCGCACTTGCTAGATTGTACTTTCTAGAGTCACGTGAGCTACCCCGTGGTCTCCGGGGACGGCCAGCTATTAGCTCTCCGCCGCGATTTGTTCTCACTTCTTCCTCTCCTCGAGAGCCTGCTCGCTCACCCATCATTCCCCTGCTGTTTAGGGCCTCCATTTTGCGACATGTACCCGCGCTGGCTGTGATCGCCTCCTTCAAAATATCATTCCCTATCTACCTTAATTCCTACAATTAATAATCTGACGATCTGTTATGGCTTCACGGTATGTTGACTTTATCCATCTGTCCTTCCCAGATACCCCAGCCGATACTAATTACTGGCCTATATGTAGATTCCCACGCTCCAACCTACACCAGCGCGACCCTCGTGCCTCCTCGTCCCTTTTCGATTCATACGGTGGCGGTTCCCGACCCGCCAGTAAATCCCCAGGCAGCGTAGGTGGTTACGGATATGGAGGATACACGCCCCCAGCCGGGGACGGCTCCGTGAATGGCAACTCCAGGGGAGGATTTCGCTCTGCGACCCCAAACGCCAAGTATGTTTTTCCAACAATGGAGAGAGAAGTTGGAGTTGGATCTTCCCGCGCAAGAAGCTCACAATGCTGGTCTATAGGGGTCATTACTCCGATGCTGTACTTTCCCACCTAGAGTCTCAGAATGACGCAGAGGTCGAAGGGATTAGCGCCAAGGTCAAGATGCTGAAAGATGTGAGTTGCTTCTCCCGCTCCTCCAGGCTGGGTGTACGTACACATACTGAAACCCCAATGCTAGCTCACGGTTGCTATTGGCGACGAGATTCGGGATACCTCCACCATATCGGACCTCAATAACACCTTCGAGAACACTCGTGTTCGTCTCCGCGGAAATATGAACCGTATGCTGCGGATGGCAGAGCGCACCGGCGTTAGCTGGAAAGTGTGGCTCGCTTTCTTCTTCGCCGTCCTCTTGCTCTTTTTCTACGTCTGGCTGACGTGAGGGACGGGAGATGTTGCTGCTGCTGTTAATCTAGCCAAGCATGGTATCTCTGCAACGGATTTTCTCTTGGCGTGGCTGTATAGCAGAGGGCCATGACCTTGAGCTATATATCCATATACAGGGACACAATTGTGTCAATCCCTTCACCTTCATCCGCCCAGCTCCTTGCCCACAGAACCCATGGCTTGAGGCCAAGGACATTCCTTCGACATCGACATAATTAGCATCTTTGCACATAAGCGGCCTATAGGAGCATACCCTTTCTTCTTTCTTTCTCCCGCGATCTACCTGGCTGGGCATTCATGATTGTTGCGCTCTTGTGCTCTACCGATGAAAGTGCATGTCTGGGAGTTTGGGCCTCTGCGATTGACGTTATGAATGCTTGCTTGTTCGGTCTGTTCGCCATACATAGGACGGCATCTGCTCTTCTGCTGTACAATGATATGTGAGATGTATAGTATACTAATTTCATACCCATCATGTCATCTACCTGCCTATCTCCATGCATTTGATATATGAACCTTTTCGCTTGCAATCGATAGATATTCTTAACTGCTACCTTGAATGATACCATGCGCAATACTCATAAATCTCGAATGAGTCTATTAAATTCTGTATGGGCCCAAGACGCCGTCTTCGGTTTCATGCAATTATATAAGCACAATCATCGCTCCTTTGCGATATAGCCAGGACTCCGTAACCCCATCCCAAGGAACTATAGTACACTCATGTATTTTGAAATCGCATTTGCAGTCATTCGAGGCTGTCTCTGGGCCCTCCCGTGCGCCGTCTCGGGAATCGACTAAAGAAACTCCGTCGGCTGCCCTGACTCGTCAAAGAAGCGCGGAGGTCTTCATCGTCGACGAGCATGCTGCTAGTGTCAAAGGCATCTCCGCCACCACTCCACCTCTGTAGGAATCGCCGTTGGGCTTCGGTTTCCCTCTCCCGTCGTATAGGCGGTGGTAGGCCTCGACTGCTAGTTGTACTGGCGCGGAAGCTCTGCGTAAAGGGGTCTTGCGAGAAGCTGACATCCTCCTCATCATCAAATTCGGCGTCGGTGTCGGTATGTTGCCATTCCTCTTCCTGCTCTGACCGGTCTTCGACGGCCTCGGGGATGTCATCATCCAGGTCCCGGCCCATGTCTTCCTCGCCTTCGCTCATTCCCTCATCGTCGTAATCCTCTTCAGCAGCACTGGGGATATCATCGTCCAGGTCCGGCTGATTGTCAAAGTCGTCATTTTCTTCCTCCAGGTCTTCCTCTTCCAGGTCATCATCGTCCGGGAATGCCTCAGGGATATCATCGTCTAGATCACGTTCCATGTACTCTCCCTCATCCACGACATCATCCTCTTCCAGCCCTTCCTCGCCTTCCTCAACCAGTCCGTCTGCATCTGCGTCGGGGATATCATCGTCCAGATCTCTCTCCATGCCCGTGTCATCATGGCCATCGCCATCAAAAGTACCCTGCGTCTGGTTCCCGAGCTCGTCCAACCCATCCACGCCCACCTCCGCCGCTGCCGCCGCTGCTCTCTCTGCCGCTGCGGCGGCCAGCGCCTCTTCTCGTTCTGCCTCCTCCTCTTTCATACCCAGCATCGTCTTGGGACACCCGGCCGGCCTGATCCACGAGTAACCGAACGAGGCAATATTGTTCTTGCGCGCACGTAGAGCCCGCTCTTCAAGCAGGAGGGATGAAAGCATATTTCCTGACGCAGCGGCTGAGGCACGTCCACCTAGCGCAGTAGAGCCATTGCGACGGGCATGTGGTTGTGTTTGTCCGGCGGACGGCTGGTGCTGAAAGGAGGTGCGGTATGGTTGTGAGGAGCCAAACCAGAGTTCGTGGGACTATAATAGAATTGAATTAGCCAAGGATGCACTTCAATTGGAGGTCAAGGGTGTCTTTGTGGGGAGCTCGCAGAAGCTGATAGCACGTACATCGCGAGGTGTTATGAGTGGAAGGGAGAGCATTCTTGTTAGCGGTGCTAGCCTGAGCTAACACTAGGAATATGGAAGTACTCGTTCAAGCTCAATTGGATCGCAATGTGTAGATGGAAGGAAGCTCGAGCGATTAGCACTCTATATAGGTCCGTGGGTTCTTATCAAGAGGTGGTTCTGAGCTAGAGTCGTTCTGTCGTCATGCGCAAGACCAGCTAGGCAATTGTATCGGAAAATGATCAAGCCGAATTTGTGGCAGTAGATCCGTAGCAGATACCACTGGTAGAAGCTGAAGGGGATATCTTGAATTTGTTTGGAGAGGAAGAAGCGGAATTGGAGAAATCGGAGAGGTCGAGAGGGGAAACCAAAACAAAAGCAGACAAGCTCCCGCGCGGGGATCTCCCGACTTACCGCATCTGGCAGCATACGTCTCGCCGCTTCCTTTTGCGATTACTTTTCTACTGGCGAACTGGTCACGCAGCGAGATTGAGATCTGTGTAACCCTTTCGTTGAAAATAACAAGTGGAGTGTATATAGAGTGTTGGGGAATTGTTTTGGATTCAATGGAACTTGCATTGTGTTGCTTCATATCCCATCTACTCCGTACTAATTTGGTAAAATATATATCCTGAGACTCAATTCCCAATTGTGTCACACTTCATACCTCGGACGGTACGAAGTAGTATTATCTAAATCGCCCATGATTCGACAACAGGAAATGGGCTGCATGGTACTTTGGTATTAGTATCGTGTGTTAAGCGGGGACTCCAGTCTACTACAGTACTAGATGAAGGATTCTTACGAACTACTATTAACCTTACCCTCATAGAGACAAACTCCCCTGCACTTCCATCCTAGCGTCGACCTCGTGTTGTGAGACAGACCATTCAGCCAAGTAGCAACACTGTATTATTCACACTAGAAGACTGGCTCATCGACTAAGTAGTGACTCATGTCTCAAGACTACTTGACTATTTACCAACGGACAAAAATCCGTCCCCCAAACGTGCAGGTAAAGACCATATTCTCCATCGGTGATTGGTGCACCATGCATATTGACATTGCTGCTGGCTGGCCGCATTGCAGCACATAGAGAGGCTTGATTCTGGACACGCCGTAAGCAAGGGAAACCCTCATGCGGTGCATCTGTCTGCTTCAATGCGTCGCACCAGCCAGGCCAGAAACCAGGACGCATGCACAGCAGCGGTTGAATGTATCTATCTCTCACCCACGCTCCGCACCAAGGCCCGCATCAGCCCACAGTGAGGCATCCGGGGTTCTCCGTAGTCCTGCATAGCCGCCGAGTATATCTGCACAAAGATCACCTGAAGCATGAGCCTAGCCAGCTGTACAAAGTGTGCAAAGCAGTAACAGAGAGCCATGAGAAAATCAGGCCATGACGGACTACTCTGCTCCACCAATTCGCACAGCTGTAGTTGTTGATCTGACATCCTCGTCAATGTCCTTCTGCAGGAGGGCAGCGTCGTCTTCAATAAAATAAGGGTGTGGCAGTAGCAGCTCAGAAATAGCCAGGACAGCCTGGAAAATTACACATGGTAGATCCAGATGCCATCCAGTCAGATGGAGACAATTTACTGGGTCTATGGCGCCTCTGCAGCGGAGAGATGAATCAGAGTCACGCTGGAACTAATTCGGTCTGCATAAAGACCTACCAAACCGAACCATACCATTTGGTACCTTACCGGATGCTACTGGTGTTGTTTGTTCCTGTAATCACGAAAACCGACCTTCTGCTGGCCCCCCTCCTCCTGCCCGGTTTTCGGTCACTTCCGTTTGCCAGGCCCGAGAACTCCCGAGAGGTTGCAGGCTCCCGCTCCGTTGTCAAGGTCACATTCGGTGAGCCCAAAGCGGACAAGCCTGAACAGGAAGGATCGGGAGAAAACGGACACCGGAAACATTGGCATCTCCGCTCGGTCATGTGATGCCCGTCGCTCCAAAGCGGATCCTTTCAGTCTGCGGATTGCCAAAAGGCTGGCCCGAAACGAGGTCTGAGATGCGATGGATACGCGAAGGGGGAGAATCGGAACAGCAGTTGCACCTCTGGACAGAGGTAACACGGCAGCTTTGTTGCGTAATACTCCATCTCTCGATAGATCGATCCCCAGCAATGCACCAGACGCAGTCTTGCAATTAGTGATCATTCCACAGCTCCGAGTCATTCCATCCCTCTCGAGCCTCCCAAGCAAGTAAGTCTAAGAGGACCAGTAAGTAGCGAGGCGTCAGGACACGCCCACTAGTAGTAGGTGCTATTGCTTGGCCGTTGGAGAGACAAGTGAACCAGACTGAGAGGATGGGCGAATTTCTTCGGCCTTCGCAGATCGGCCGAGAATTTTAGTTGTTCAGAGGTAAAAGGAAGGAACCGTCTCAGTCAATCGTCTCAAGACAATCCGTCCCGGGGAGCTCACGCCTGAAGCCGTGAAGCCAGCCCTCCAATCGGGCCACCCTCGTACCCATGCGAACTGTCGGACACCTTCTAGCTCCAAATTTCCCGGAGCACGGCAACAATGATTATTAAGGATCTAGAGAGGGGGAAAATGAAATTGGCTGCCAGTCTGGCATGGTGGGATCCATTGATCTGTCAGCCAGTAGAAGGTGAACACACCAGCGTCCAGGCAACTCGGACGAGGGAGGGGGGTAGGGTAAGAGTGGGAGATTGGAAAACAATTGATTTATGTATTACCATAATCATACTCATGCTATTATTTTTCGAATAAATAAGCTCTTATCGGGCCAGGGTTCCGAGTTAGCCAGCATAAAACACCCCGTGATTATTCCGAAGGGGAAGAAGGAGGGGGGATAGGAAAAGGTTACTAGCTCGATAGCTGATGAAAGGATACATTAGTATGGGCAGATCCCGACCTCGAACTTAACCAGTGTAATAATAAGAGCCATACCATACCGGCTTGGTACCGCTCGTATTTCCGGGGGTGTTGGTGTGTGTTCTTCCTGCATGCTCATTGGTCGGGGCCAATCAATGGCCACGGTCGTACTCCTACTCCGTCCGTTCAGTCCTGCCCGGAGTCCCGGACAAGCCCATGGGAATCATTTCACGGGGAGGGTGGGTTTTCCCCAGAAAATAGACCTAGGTTTGGGTCAATGGAAGGTTTCAAAGATCTACGGATGGGACGTCTAGATGCCAGATGGACAGATGGGCGTCGAGTAAGAATGTGGCTATTTGAAGAGGGTGACTGATAAGAGGTTTGGATGACCTCAAGAAATGAGCTTGAGAAATTCGACCGGGTCGAACCCACTGGCATTCTTGGAAACGCAAGGTGCGTCTCGGGGCAGTGGCGGGCCCCGAAATCGGCGGGGCAGGGGTACGGGAAAGCTACTAGGCAGTAAGCTACGGGTGAATGTAACGGAGAGAAGAGAAGGCAGCCTAAAAGACGACTAGTAGAGGGAACGTGGCTCGGAGAGGGGTTGGGTTAATTGTTTGGGGAGGGAGGGAGGGACTGAGAGGGAGGAGGGATTCCGGGACGGATAGGGAAAGGTGCCTAGCTTGGCCGTTGTCGGAAAGGTTGGGCTGACGGGAATCAAAAAAAGGTGGGCGGACAACAGCACTCAGCCATGCTTCTATTGCTGAGGTGAGTGGTACCGCTCCGTGCCAGTAACTTACCCACCATTCCACCTGGCCAAAAATACATATACCGGTTACAACATTGTATACGCTTGTAACGGGCAAACTTACCAACTTACCACTGATCGCCCGACCACCTGCACCTCAGCGTGGGGTATGCGAGTTTTAGTTCGAAGGCTCTCTTCTGGCTTAGGATGGGCAAAGGAAGCGTGTGTTTTCTATTAGGGCCCTTCCTCGGTCTAGAGAGCAGCCCACGGGCGAGATCACCTATTGCCCAATGCACCACTTAGCGCCTGGGTCAAAAGTCCTTCGGTTGCAGTCCTCTTGCAAGTTGCAGGCCGCGTGTGCAGATTGTTCTGCCCTGTCCCTTTTTTATTTTTCTTCTTTTTTTTTTTTTTTTCTCTTTCTTTCTAACTATTTCCGATTGATCGATCAGCTTCACAAATATGTTTAGGCGGCAGATTTATGCACCATGCAATCTATTTCCTAGCCTAGTTGGAGAAGCGAGTCACCAGCCTAGTATGGGTGCACCTTACCACTCCGTAATTTCTGTGGTATACGATGTAGGCAGAGGCCACTTGCGGGCCGTGTACTTAATCACGGTATACTGACACACACCGTAAGGGCCACCCACTTCCTCAATTCCTATGACTACATCCCAATTACTATGACTACAAAAGTTCATCTCCCAGGACGATCTGGGATTTTCTCTTATACATAGAAATAATCGACTTGGAGACTTCATCTCCTTACTGTTCTAATGTAACGCCCAGTGCCTGCCAAGCAATTTTGGAGTAGAAATAGAATTGCTTTTTTAGTAACCTTTGATTTTTGCAGTGCCGCCGGATTTGTCCTCCTTTCCGGGTTTCCCAGACCACTTGGGGTTGACTTACCATGTGCAGCAGCGCACTTTCAGCACAGGCCGACCAACTGATTGGGACAGAATCGGGGATAAGCACTGTATCCCTGCGTTGCCCCACTTATACAACGCCCAATCATTCCATCCAGCTGGGCCCTTTCCCTTCTGCTCTGGTCGAACAGTTGGAGGAAGATGAGAAACTGCGAGTCGTGTAGCCCAGACGGTCTCACAATCCATTGACCATCCTAGCCATGGCTTGCACACGGGCACTGAGATGGCCTCTCTGGTATATGCGGTGCTCCAAAAATTTAGTAGGCACGGAACGCTTGGCGTGTCAATGGGGCTCCTGCTCGGTGCTTTCTACTACCTACTATACGTATACACTCCTACTAGTATGTTGCTAATACTCTTTTGACTAGCAGTGCTTGCACCACCCAAGGCACACTGTAGCTCATGATATGAACCAAGTCTTTGCGAGACACAGTTAAGTTGGGATGAGATTTGATCATAGCCGTCACGATCAGGAAGAATCATGCGAGCATATACGAATTAGTGTTCAGGGAATAAGACCACCAGATACCTACAGTGGTTTGTTATTGCATTGGTGGGTTTCGTGCATTGGACCAGAGAAAGGTGATTTATGATCCCATGAGCAGGAAGTGGAACAGGCCACCCAGGGCATCAACTTCTTCCATTCGTGGATTGTTGTAGGTATCACCACCAGGACGATCATGTTCCGGTTGATCCAACCTCTCCAACAGCTCTCTGGGTCCTCTTCTGACCTGACTGGGTATGCCAGCCAGCCAGCCGACTTGATGGAAGACCGGCCAGGTCTCTCACCTGATGGGTCAATTTGTGATTAAGAGTTATAGTGCAGACATGAATGCCAGAATGGAGCTCTGCATGATGGGGAATAAAACGTTTCATGCCCACTTGGAGGCAGTGCATTAATACAACTGAAGACCAAATACTACTACTACTTTGACTACTACGTACTATGTTGTGTCCCGTAATCTGATTGAATACCACAAACTTGTCGATGCCCGTATTGGACGAACGAAGGGAATCAGAATTACGGGACGATACGAAACAAAGTACCCAGTAGACTCCCACTAGCGCCGTCAGCGGACAACCTTTTTCTGTTTCCCTTTTTCTTCTTTTTGGCCCGGGCCCCACCGGCCTGGATCTTGACGTAGCCAAAACCTAATCTTTCTGCGGAAGGTTGTAAAACCGTCATGCTGATTGGTGGGCGCTAGTCTTATCTCCTTCTCTAGAACAAATCCCCGGCTGGAGGTGAAGTACAGTCAGTCCGGCCTCCCTTGGTGAATGGGAAAAATGGCTAGTAATCTCTCTCTCTCTCTCTCTCTCTCTCTCTCCATTCCACCACCCTCCCTTTCAATACAATGAGCGGATGGAAAAGCTTTCTTCTCTGAGACAAGTCAGAAACCCTGCTGCCAGACTAACTAACAAGCCAGACAACAATTCAATCCACAAAAAATCGACGTAAGCCACTCACTCTTACACCACCCACCTTTTTCTTATTTTATTTTTTTTGCCTTCTGCACCATGATGACAGAAGCAACAACAAACTTACGTCTTGTAGATCACCATCGTGTATGCACATGGAACTACATCATACACGGGATATCCTGGTGACTGCCGGCAGTGATGCAGCAGAGAAAGAGGGCAACAGAATGATGAATGATTGATGGGATTGATTGTCATTCAATGCGCCTTTCCTCCCACCACCCCCCCCCTTACAGTATCCTCCGTAGTCTACTCCGTAGTAGGCGCTAGAATTCATTGCCATCTGCCAGCCCGCATTAGTTCCTTTTTCCCTGCGCCCGTCAACAACCACCGTCTGACTGCTTACATCTGCCTGGCTTTAAACTAAGTACTAACTACTACAGTCTTTCCTTTTTAGCACTCCGTCTTCGCTCCTGAAGCTAGGTAAGCTACGATTTGCCACGGAAATCTCTTGATCATCCCCACCTTCGGTAATTTTCGGTTTCCGTACCATTTGGGCGTTTTTAGAGTAAATTGGATCTGGCGGTGGATTCACCCGACCTGAGCCTACTAGTAGTACTACTGGAGGTGCGTTCATCCGCCCAGAAGACCGAGAAGGGAAGGGGGGGTAACCCCAATTTTACATACTGGTTTGGTACGGAGTATCGGAGGAGTCTCGAGGTGAATCCCCGGACCGCACCCCCCCGTAGTAGGAGCTCCCGCTCTCTCTGTCTGTCTTGCCCATTTTATTATTCCCTTCCCTCCCTCCCCCTCTCCCTGGTCGCTTCTCTCCTTCTTTCTCTCTCTTCTTTCTCCCATTACCATTCCACCAGGAGTCAGACGCTGGGCCATCACCATTAAAAGTTTCTGAATTTTGCCCTTTCCTTGCCCGCGTCATTGTACACCACTCCCCCCAGTCTTTGTGACGACATCGTTCTTATCTATAACAGAACGAATTGCCCCCCCCCTCCCCCGCCCCGACTTGTTCCGCGGCGATCCCATTGTCCCCCCCATCAACAACCACACCAATTCCCCTAGATTCGCTACTCCATTTTCTGTCGGCCACCGGCGGAAGAATGGGTCTGAACTTGGAGGAACTCTATGGCAAACCTATAGTGGAAGAGGAGACTCCGAACGAGTATTCGGAGTACCAGCCAAAGAAGGGATATGGCTGGGCAAACACCTTGCCCGAGAGGCAAGGTCTTTATGACCCCGAATATGAGAAGGATGCCTGTGGTGTAGGCTTTGCAGCGTAAGTACTCAGCAGGGAACACTTCCGCCCTCAAGAGCGATCTTTATGATTGCGCTCTGGGCTTCATGGATCGACGGGCTAACAGCAACTCTCTCGACATCTAGTCACATCAAGGGCAAGCCTAGCCACAAGATTGTCAGTGATGGTAAGCATCTACAATCATATATGCCTGGTAATTTTGGGAGCATATTATCTAACTTCTGCAGCTCGCAATTTGCTTTGCAACATGACCCATCGCGGTGCCGTTGGCTCGGATGCGCGCGATGGTGATGGTGCTGGTGTGATGACCAGTATCCCCCATAAATTCTTTATCAAGAATTTTGCCCGTGAGGTCGGAGTTGATCTCCCTCCCCTCGGTCAGTATGCTGTCGGCAACCTGTTCTTCAAGCCTGAGGAGGAGTCCGTAAAGGAGTCTGTACAGAGCTTCGAGGAAACTGCCACATCCTTGGGTCTACGGGTGTTGGGCTGGCGTGAGGTCCCCCGCGACTCTACCATTCTGGGCCCCGCCGCTCTCTCCCGGGAGCCTACCATCCTGCAGCCGTTCGTCGTTCTGAAGTCAGCTTATGGCGAAGGAAACAAGCCAGAGCTTACCGACCCAGAGCTGTTTGACATGAAGACATTCGAACGTCAACTGTATGTCCTGCGAAAGCGGGCTACTCACGTCATCGGTCTCGCCAACTGGTTCTATCTGTGCTCCCTGAGCAACAGAAACATTGTCTACAAGGGTCAACTGGCCCCCGTTCAGGTATACCAGTACTACCATGATCTGGTAAACGTTGACTACGAAGGTCACTTTGCTCTCGTCCACTCCCGTTTCTCTACCAACACATTCCCTTCTTGGGATCGTGCACAGCCCTTGCGTTGGGCCGCCCACAATGGTGAAATCAACACCCTTCGTGGCAACAAGAACTGGATGCGCGCCAGAGAAGGTGTACTGAAGTCGGACATTTTCGGTGAGGAGCTGGATTCCCTGTACCCCATTGTTGAGGACGGTGGTTCCGACTCGGCAGCGTTCGATAACGTCCTTGAATTGTTGATGATCAACGGTGTGCTTTCATTGCCTGAGGCGGTCATGCTTATGATCCCGGAAGCCTGGCAAGATAACCCGGCTATGGATCCGGCCAAGGCTGCTTTCTACGAATGGGCGGCTTGCCAGATGGAGCCGTGGGACGGCCCGGCTCTCTTTACCTTCTCCGACGGTCGCTACTGCGGTGCAAACCTCGACCGTAACGGTTTGCGTCCTTGCAGATTCTACGTGACAGATGATGACCGCATCGTTTGTGCCTCGGAGGTTGGTGCTGTAGACATTGACCCCGAGCGCGTGGTCCAGAAAGGTCGTCTGCAGCCTGGAAAGATGCTCCTGGTCGACACCGTGGCTGGACGCATCATTGATGATTCTGAGCTCAAATACACCGTATCTCACAGACATGACTTTGCTTCGTGGCTGGATAAGGAGCTCCTCAAATTGCCCGCCATCAAAGAGAGCCTGGACGAACAACGCGTGGATTTGACACATGCCTTGGACGAAACGACCATTCAGAACGACCCTCGTCTGAAGGCCTTTGGCTACTCCTTCGAGCAAGTCAGTCTACTCCTTGGTCCTATGGCCGCAGACTCCAAGGAAGCTCTGGGATCCATGGGTAACGACGCCCCCTTGGCTTGTATCGCTAAGCAGCCTCGTCTTATCTACGAATACTTCCGCCAACTCTTCGCTCAAGTCACCAACCCTCCTATTGATCCTATCCGAGAGGCTGTTGTTATGTCCTTGGAGTGCTACGTTGGTCCTCAAGGAAATCTTTTGGAGATGGAACAGTCGCAGTGCCACCGTCTGTTGCTTCCTTCCCCCATCCTCAGTATCCCCGAGTTCAACGCCCTGAAGAACATCTCCCAGGCCCACAAGGACTGGACTGTGAGGACCATTGATATCACCTTCGAGAAGGAGAAGGGTGTTCCGGGATACCTGGAGGCCCTCGATGCCATCTGCGATGCCACCACCGAGGCTATTCAGAACGGTGACAAGATCCTCGTCCTCTCAGACCGTGCCACTGGTGCGGACAGAGTTCCGGTGTCTGCCCTTCTAGCAACTGGTCTTGTTCATCACCATCTGGTCCGCAACAAGTGGAGATCTCTTGCTGCCATCGTTGTGGAAACTGCCGAGGCTCGTGAAGTGCACCACATGTGTGTCCTCGTTGGTTACGGAGCTGACGCCATCAACCCCTACCTTGCTATGGAATGTATCTTGAAGATGAACCGGGAGAAGCTGATCCGCAAGCAGCTCCCCGATGAGAAGGTCATTGAGAACTACAAGGCTTCCTGTGATGGTGGTATCCTCAAGGTTATGAGCAAGATGGGTATCTCTACCCTGCAGTCATACAAGGGTGCTCAGATCTTCGAAGCCCTCGGTATCGATGACAGTGTTATTGACCGTTGCTTTGCTGGAACTGCAAGCCGCATCCGTGGTCTGACCTTTGAATTGATTGCCCAAGACGCGTTTGCTTTCCACGAGCGTGGATACCCCTCTCGCGAGATTGTCGATATCCCCGGTCTCCCAGAGTCGGGTGAATACCACTGGCGTGACGGTGGCGAGGAGCACATCAACGACCCTGTCAGTATCGCAAACATGCAGGACGCTGTGCGCACGAAGAACGACAAGTCCTATGAGGCATATGCCAAGGCTGAGCACGAGCAGATCAAGAACTGTACCCTCCGTGGTATGCTTGATTTCGATTTCGAGCAACGCACACCGATCCCTATTGATCAGGTCGAGCCCTGGACCGAGATTGTTCGTCGATTCGTTACCGGCGCCATGTCGTACGGTTCTATCTCCATGGAGTCTCACTCCACCCTTGCCATTGCAATGAATCGCCTTGGCGGAAAGTCGAACACTGGTGAAGGTGGTGAAGATCCTGAGCGAAGCAAACTGTTGGAGAATGGCGATACGATGCGGTCCGCCATCAAGCAGATTGCCTCTGGCCGATTTGGTGTGACATCTCACTACCTTGCCGATGCCGATGAACTGCAGATCAAGATGGCACAGGGTGCTAAGCCTGGAGAAGGTGGTGAGCTCCCTGGTCACAAGGTTGTCGGCCCCATTGCGCACACCCGTTACTCTACTCCCGGTGTCGGTCTTATTTCGCCGCCACCCCACCACGATATTTACTCTATTGAGGACCTGAAGCAACTCATCTACGACCTCAAGTGCTCCAACCCTCGCGCACGTGTCTCTGTCAAGCTTGTCTCGGAAGTTGGTGTTGGTATCGTTGCGTCCGGTGTCGCAAAGGCCAAGGCTGATCACATCCTGATCTCCGGTCACGATGGTGGTACTGGTGCCTCACGTTGGACCGGTATCAAGTATGCCGGTCTTCCTTGGGAGTTGGGTCTGGCCGAAACCCACCAGACCTTGGTCCTCAATGACCTGCGTGGACGTGTTGTTGTGCAAACTGATGGTCAACTTCGTACTGGTCGCGATCTTGCGGTCGCTTGCTTGCTCGGAGCCGAAGAGTTTGGGTTCGCTACGACCCCTCTGATCGCCATGGGCTGCATTATGATGCGCAAGGTAAGATGAATATGGAATTTCCCCTTAAACTCGTGCTAATTCATGCTTAGTGTCATCTCAACACCTGCCCTGTCGGTATCGCAACTCAGGACCCGGCACTTCGGGCCAAGTTCCAGGGTACGCCCGAACACGTGATCAACTTCTTCTACTATGTTGCCAATGAGATGCGTGCTATCATGGCCAAGTTGGGCGTTCGCACCGTGAATGAGATGGTTGGACGTGCCGAGCTTCTCAGGGTCCGTGACGATATCCGGAATGCCAAGCAGGAGAAGATTGACTTGTCGCTCATTCTTACTCCTGCCCACTCCCTGCGCCCCGGCGTCGCTACCTACAACGTCCGCAAGCAGGACCACCGTCTGCACACTCGCCTCGATAACAAGCTGATCGCCGAGTCCGAGCTTGCCTTGGAGAAGGGACTCCCTTGCAGAATCGAGTGCGACATTGTAAACACTGATCGTGGCTTGGGTGCTACCTTGTCTTACCAGGTCAGTCGCCGTTATGGTGGCGAAGGACTTCCCCAGGATACCATCCACGCCAACATCAAGGGCTCCGCTGGTCAGTCATTCGGTGCTTATCTTGCTCCTGGTATCACTCTCGAGCTGGAAGGCGATGCCAATGACTACGTTGGTAAGGGTCTCTCGGGAGGTCGCCTTATCATCTACCCCCCTCGTGGTGCTGCATTCAAGGCTGAAGAAAACGTCATTGTTGGTAACACCTGCCTTTACGGTGCCACTCGCGGTACTTGCTTCTTCCGCGGTATGGCTGCTGAGCGTTTCGCTGTCCGTAACTCCGGTGCTACCGCCGTCGTTGAGGGCGTTGGTGACCACGGTTGTGAGTACATGACTGGCGGTCGCGTCCTTGTTCTTGGCTCTACTGGTCGTAACTTTGCTGCTGGTATGTCTGGTGGTATCGCCTACATCCTGGATATGAAGCAGGACTTCCACTCCAAGGTCAACATGGAGATGGTCGAGGTGTCCGGCTTGGAAGATCCCGCCGAGATCGCCTTTGTTCGTGGCTTGATCGAGGATCACCATCACTACACCGGATCGGAGCTCGCCGCGCGTATCTTGCTGGACTTTACTCGTGCCCTTCCTCACTTTGTTAAGGTGCTGCCTACGGATTACAAGCGGATCCTACAGGAGGAAGCTGCCAAGGCTGAAGCCGCCAAGAAGGCAGAGTTCTCTTTGCCTCAGCTTCCTAGCACTCCAGTTCCTGCGGAGAAGCCCAAAGCTCAGTCCGACGATGCCAAGAAGGTTGAGATGCTAGATATTGAAGATAGTATCAGCGACTCTAAGACTGAGAAAAAGCGGTCTGCGCTCATTTTGGACAAGACCAGGGGCTTTATGAAATACAACCGGCGCAGTGAGAAGTACCGCAACCCAGCAACTCGTACGCGTGACTGGGCTGAGCTTTCTAATCGCCTGAGCGAGGATGAACTCAAGTACCAATCCGCGCGCTGCATGGACTGTGGTGTGCCTTTCTGCCAGTCTGACACTGGTTGTCCGATCTCCAACATCATTCCCAAGTGGAATGAGTTGGTGTTCCAGAACCAGTGGCAGGATGCTCTCAACCGGCTACTCATGACCAACAACTTCCCCGAATTCACTGGTCGCGTTTGCCCTGCTCCTTGCGAAGGTGCTTGTGTCCTTGGCATCAATGAAGACCCTGTGGGTATCAAGTCTATCGAATGTGCCATCATTGACCGCGGTTTCGAGATGGGTTGGATGGTTCCTCGCCCTCCTAAGACTCGCACGGGCAAAAATGTTGCGATCATCGGCTCTGGCCCTGCAGGTCTCGCTGCTGCCGATCAACTTAATCGGGCTGGTCACACCGTTACCGTTTACGAGCGTGCTGACCGTATCGGCGGTCTTCTGATGTACGGAATTCCCAACATGAAGCTGGACAAGAAGGTCGTGCAACGTCGTGTTGACCTGATGGCTGCTGAGGGTGTCAAGTTTGCTGCTGGTACCCCCGTCGGCCCAGAGCACGAGATCACGCTAGACTCTCTGCGCCAGACTAACGATGCTGTTATCATTGCTACTGGTGCCACGGTGGCGCGTGACCTGAAGGTCCCTGGACGTGAGCTTGACGGCGTTCACTTCGCCATGCAATTCCTGCACCGTAACACCAAGTCTTTGCTGGACTCCAATCTCGCCGACGGAGCGTACATCTCCGCCAAGGACAAGCACGTCGTGGTCATTGGTGGTGGTGATACTGGAAACGACTGCATTGGTACATCTGTGCGTCACGGTGCCAAGTCTGTCACCAACTTCGAGTTGCTGCCTCAGCCTCCGCCGGAGCGTGCCCGCGACAACCCATGGCCTCAATGGCCCCGTATCTACCGTGTCGACTACGGTCACTCCGAGGTCAAGACGCACATGGGCAAGGACCCTCGTGAATACTGCGTCATGTCTAAGGAGTTCGTTGACGACGGTAGTGGCCGTGTCAAGGGTATCAACACGGTTCGTGTTGAGTGGACCAAGAGCGCTTCTGGTGGCTGGGACATGAAGACCGTTGAGGGCAGTGAACAATTCTTCCCCGCGGATCTTGTTCTTCTCTCCATGGGCTTCCTTGGGCCCGAGGACCGGGTTCTGGGCGAAGAAATTGAGCGTGATGCCCGCAAGAACGTCAAGACGCCGCCCGGACATTACTCCACCAGCGTTCCGGGTGTTTACGCTGCTGGTGACTGCCGCCGTGGCCAGTCTCTCATCGTGTGGGGTATCAATGAAGGTCGTCAATGCGCCCGTGAAGTAGACACCTTCTTGATGGGCATCAGCTCTCAGCTCCCTGTCACTGGTGGTATTGTGCGCCGGCCCGCTATCGATGCCGTTCCTCAGGCTGCCCAGCAGACAGTATCTGCCTAAGTCCATCAGAAGCTGCGCCTTGCCGCTAAACCCGCTAGACTGGTTCTAGCGTTGACTGCATGAAACCTCGGTCATGATAGCAACAAATCTACGATTTTCTATGTCGAGAAGAGAAAAAGTGTTTTGACTCGGCCAGGCAATGTTGGGTGGTTTATATCTATCACGGCAATACTTTGATCTCAAGTATGATACGTTGTGTCTGTCTTCATGGATGTTTTAGGGAGGGATACAGTCCGATGAAATTATATTTTATTTGGTTTTGTTATTTTGAAGGATGATTTGCAGCGTTCTGTTCCTTCTCAAAAGAGGTGCGAGGTGTCGGAGCGTTTGTGGTTTCCATCCAACACATTTTGATGTACATATTCTCTTCATGACCATATCAATTCCAAGATTCAGTCCTTTCATCCCCCTTTCCAATTCATAAGAAGCACTAGTAGAAATCCCGAAATACCATCATAGTAGCATGTATGGCTCCGCAGAGAAGGTGCATGCAACAGGGCTTCCATATACTTGACGCATGCCAGTTGCGTGGTATATACACAGCCTCTCAACCCCAGCCAGACCAGTCTAAGACAAGAATAGCAGAATAGAATAGGACGGGGCAGATCTACACCCACTCCCTAGTATCCATATCCTCATCCTCATCAATCTCATACCCCTCCTCCCTCTCATTCACCTGCTCCCAAAATTCCGCCCCCATAACATCCGACGCCTTCCTCTTCTTCATCATTTTCCTCATCTTCCTCTTCTCCACTCGACCCCCCTTAACCGGACTCGGCCGACGAGGAATCACCGCCCCAAACCCACCATTACCACCGAAATAACCAGCACCAGCACCACCACCGCCACCAGCTGCAACAGAAAACCGCGCAAAATCCCTCTGCTGCGCCTGTCTCGCATGCATCACAGCCACCTGCATCAAATACCCCTCCTCCATGAGAAGAACCTGATCCAGGAAATCCCCGCCCAGGAAACTCAGCGCGTCGTAGACGATGTTTAATCGGAGCGTGCTGATCTGGGACATGTGGTAGAGGTTGCGGTAGAACATTTCGTTGTCGAGTTGGGTGGGGGGTTTGCGGATGGGTTTGAGGGGACGGTGGATTATGGGGTGGCTTCGTGGTGGACTGGGTTTGGGGATGGTGGGGGAGAAGGTGGATGAGGAGGTTAGGGCTGCGGTGGAGGAGGTTGCTGATGTTGTTGTGCTGCTGAGGTCGATCCAGGAGGTCGAGGGGGAGGATTGGGGTGATGGGGTTGGGGAGGGGGAGTAGATTGGGATTTCGGTGATGGGGCCCCAGGTTACGGATTTGGGGGGATGGAAGTGGTAGGGTGGTGGTGGTGGTTGTTGTTGTTGTTGATGGTGAGGGTGAGGGTGGGTGAAGGAGGATGGGGATGGGAATGGGAATGGGGGGTGGGTGGTTGTTGGGGCTGGTGGTGGGATTGATGTTGATGTTGCTATTGATGCTGGTGGTGGTGTTGGTGTTGGTGGTCTGTGAGGAAGTTGACGACGTTGAGCTGAGAAGGTAGGTCCTTCGATAGTATCCAGCGTCGTCTCCATGTTCGTGGTCATATTCACCTCCATGTTAGGGTAGTTCCTGAGGCTGCTAGCCTTGATAGTAGTAGTAGTAGATTCGGAATCCGAGTCTTCTGTATAATTATTGGTGGTGGTAATTAGCATGGCAGAAATGCGATGGAAGAGCGTGCGCATGCGATATGTGGCGGTTAATGGTAATTTCAGTCTCTGCTTGATGCGAAGAGGTCTCTTGAAAGATCCAAAAGGACGCATCATATCAGATGGTTATTGTTCCTGAGGAGTTCATATCGTAGCCATGGTGCTTGAATGGCCTAATGGTCGGCTGTTGGTGGTTGCTGATGATGACAAGGGTGCTGTTGTTATGTGAGGTCTATATATAGGAGCTGCACAGAGGAGGATAGGTCAAGAGGAATAAAGACACATCGGGATTGTCCGCCGGAAGCAAGTCGCTTTATTGTGTGCGTTAGAGACGGAGATTTCCTTTGTCCTGGGGATGGTGGCTGAGACAATTGGGTTGCTCAGATGATGATGGGTGATTGATTTCTGCTAATGCTATTGTACAACGTGCCCCACGAGTTTGGGAGACAGGTATCCATCTACATGGTATCAAATGTGAAAAAATTGGAGATCCCTAGGTATGTGTGAAGAGATCTGACACAAAGACGAAAAAATTGGATGGGGTCATGATTGGTTGGCTTCTTTTTTAGGCCGTAGCAGCTTTCTGCCGCGCTGCTTCTTCTTCCTCTGCCTGCATTTCCCGTTCCAGGGCCGCGAAATCCCCGGAGAACGCATTCTGCACCGGCTCTGTCCGCACGTCCCACACGTCTTCGCTGCTGGGGCCTGTCTTGTACTTGATGGCTTTCTTCCGGTTGTGATCGCGGATTGCCTTCCGGCGCTGCTGATCCGGTAACGTGCGGGTCTTCATGCACATCCAGAAGTTGTCCCAGTGTTCGCTGCAGGACCGCAGTTCACCATAGCGGTAGACGTTGACAAACTGGCCTCCGAAGGACTGGCAGAAGAAGGCATAGTCGAATGCGGAGCGACAGGACATGGTATCATCGTATAGGGATTCGGGGGCAATGGACGAGGGAGGTGCTTGAGGATCGGCGGAGTTGGATGGTGATGATGCGGAATCGGATGCTGTGGAATTACCAGCGGATGGTGTCTGCTGCTGCTGCTTTTGACCACTGATATCGCTCTCCAGGCTGGCGATCAGGGTCTTCCATTCTGCGTCGGCCTGCTCCTCGCGGGTGAGAGTCCGGGGTTGCGGTGGTTGTGAAGGTGCGGAGGTGGTCTCTTGAGGGGGTTGTGAGGCAGGAGAACTGGAGGCAGCAGGCGTGGAAGACTGGCCCTCTTTAGGGGCGGAGCTCCACCACCAACCCATGGCAATGACTGGTTTCAATGAAGGATAGAATGGGAGTCTCCGGGGGATGTTTGGATGGGGACAAGAAGAGACGGCGGAATTAAGTTGAATGGATTCAAAGCGGATCGACTCCTAAATTTCACCCGAACGCGCCGTGACGGTAATGCGGAGCTGCCCCGCACCACCAAAGATATAATACCCGTCACATCATGTATTGGTCCCAGATCATCCAGTCGACGTCATAGTTGGAGAGTCCAGGAACAGCGTCTCTTGTTAAACCCTTCAGGAACCCCTCTAGCTTCCTGCACAATGCTGTGAGGTCTGCAGAGATGATGCGAATCCCATATCGAGCGGTGGTGCCACGCGCAACTTTACCCAATGCACGCTTCAGTAGACCTTCTGCGATTCCTTCCTTGACAAAGGCGTTCATCGTCAGTCGGCGTACTTCGTCACATGCCTCTTTCATCGAGACTGGGCACATTGACGTGAAAGACGACGAGGGTCTTGTATTTGTGAATAGTATGGGTTTCGCGTCTCAGATATTGTATTGTATGCCTTGCTAACAATCCATGTTGGGAGTAGATATTTTTCCGTCGAAGCTACAATGGTTGCTACAAGGCCCGCTGAGCGGGACTAAAACCTACGAAGAGGCGTTGAAACGAATCAACAGACCCCATCTGGCGGCGTCGGATCCATTGCATATAATCCGCCGTGTCTTCCCTCAGAGCCTGAACGTCGACATCCGGGAAGTCATTCCGCGCTTCAGAGAGGGCGGCGCTTTCGTGAAATATGTTCGCAAGGACGGTGTCCGAGACACTGACATTGTAACCGCCGTGCAAGACCATCTGGAGCACAATCCTATCCGGCCCTGGTTCAATCCGTTTCAGCAGGTCAAGGTTGCCCACGTGCATGGCAGACCGTGGATCGAGGATCTATATCGCATCCCAAGCCAGCGGCTGCGCGTGGAATTCCTGCCAGGCTCCGTTGATGGAGCCGCAACGGAACTGACCACGGAAACGTTGTATTCTTTCTTCAGGAGATATGGAAAATTAAGGGACATTGAGAGACAGCCGACCGATTCGAAGATCGCCCCGAGATATGCCTTTGTGTCATTCACGCGGCAAAAGTACGCAGTCATGGCCAAGAACTGCATGCACGGGTTCACCATCCCGGAGCAGGAAGGCGGCGGCAAGTCCGGAACGAGGATCAAGATCAAGTACGAGCGGAAGATCAAGCTATCCGTCATCAAGGACTGGATCTTGAACCATCCGAGGATCGTGATCCCTGCCATTGCCGCACTCATTGCGGCCATCACCGTGACCATCTTCGACCCTATTCGCACCTTTTTCATCGAAATGAAGATCAAGGCCACTCTGCAAACTGAGGAGAACAGTGTCCTTCGATGGATCCGGAATCAGGTCAACAAGGCCAATATCATTTACTTCGGGCGCCAGAGGACAGACCCTCGCCGTCTCACTGCGATATGGGAGGATCGCCAGGGAGACATCAAGCAGTTGCAGTCCTGGCTGATGGAGAATGCGGAGACGTTCATCGTCATCCACGGCCCTCGGGGCACGGGAAAGCGGGAGCTTGTGTTGGACAGAGCACTTGAGAACTACAAGTACAAGGTCGTCATCGACTGTAAACAGATCCAGGACGCCAAGGGCGATACTGCAAAGATAGCCCGTGCTGCTAGCCAGGTCGGTTACCGGCCTGTGTTCTCATGGATGAACAGCATGAGCAGCTTTATCGACCTAGCTGCGCAGGGCATGATCGGCACCAAGGCTGGCTTCTCTGAGACATTGGATGCGCAGCTCAGCAAGATCTGGCAGAATACTGCCACTGCCCTAAAGAAGGTTGCCCTGTCCAATAGGAAAAATGATGACAAGGAGGCACACCTCTCAGACGAGGAGTACCTAGAAGCTCACCCTGAGAAGCGTCCCGTCGTAGTCATCGACAACTTTCTGCATAATGCGTCTGAGAGCAGCGTGGTGTACGACAAGATCACCGAGTGGGCTGCAGGCCTCACAACCGGAAACATCGCTCATGTAGTATTTTTGACTACGGACGTTTCATTCTCCAAACCTCTGAGCAAGGCATTGCCAAACTCAGTATTCCGGACCATTTCCCTAGGCGATTGCTCGCTCGACGTGGGCAGGAAGTTTGTCCTCAGCCATCTTGAGCACGGGGAGAAGGATGGAGCCAATTCAGGCCAGAACATGGAAGAAGTAGGAGACTTGGGTACCCTGGATAGCTGCATAGAGGTGCTGGGAGGCCGAGTAACCGACCTTGAATTCATGGCACGGCGCATCGAGACTGGAGAAACGCCCAGAGGTAGGTTGGATCCACTTTGGCTGATCAATGGCGCGTATGGCTAAAAATAAAACAGCGGCAGTTAATCGCATCATCGAACAATCGGCATCCGAGATCTTGAAGATGTTTGTCTTTGACCCTGACATTGAATCCAAACAGTGGAGCCACGAACAGGCCTGGCATTTAATTAAGACGCTAGCCCACTCCCAGGATGGAACTTTGCCGTACAATCAAGTTCTCCTCTCCGACTTGTTCAAGGAAAACGGCGAGGCCACCCTCCGAGCCCTTGAGCAAGCCGAGCTTATCGCAATCAGTTCCGTCAACGGATGCCCTGACGCAGTGAAGCCAGGCAAGCCTGTCTATCGGGCGGTGTTTAAGCGGTTAACGGAGAACAAGACGCTGAGTAGCCGGCTGGACCTGGACATCGTCAAGCAGCTGCTGAGTAGTGAAAACAAGAGCATTGGGAAATATGAGCAGGAGCTGCAGGTATTGGGATCTCTCCCCAAGCAGCCCCGGGAGCTCAGCGCACGGATTCAGTGGCTCCTGCAGAAGGTGGCAAGTTCGCAGAACAAGATCAGCCAGTATGAGCACGAGAGTGCCATCTTACAGAAGGTGTTGCGCCGAGAGCATTGACCACGAGGAGAGTATGTATAATTCTGTATCATTGAAAGTAATGACTAGTTAGTTGCACTGCATGAATGATGAGCCATAAATAGTACAGAGAGTAAGTAGTAAACAAGTTGAAGATGAAACCAACCGGGAACGACTTTAGCCGCAGGCCAGATCAGGTGTGGCTGAGCTAAGCGTCACAGCCCGTACGGTAATTTACTGAATAATCCAGTTTGGCCATCATTTCAAAGCAGCATCAAACTCTCGTTTCTATTTTCTGCTTCAGGCGTTGCACAAATCTTTCTTTACTTTTTATTCTTATTTCTTCGATCTTCCCCTTCTGAATGGGAATTGTTTATTTACCCTTTGGTGTAAATCGCGCTCTCTTTTTCTGGATATCCATGTCATCTCATCTGTGATCGCAACCCCCGTCCTTCTTTTCCCTAATTCTGCCCCCGTTTTCGGGCCGGTTCTTCCACGTTCATTACGATGGAACAGTATGACTTGTTAGCGCCAGGGAATCTTGTACGATTCGTCGGCGATGTTCTCAAGTCAATCGGATGGCCAGCCATAGTGGCTATTCTGGTCTCCATCTGCTTGGTGACTCGTCTCATCACCGAATATCAGAGTCGTTCCCGTGGGATCTCCGAGGGACGTCCGCGTCCCGTAAGGACGGTGCCATATTGGCTGCCCTGGATAGGCCATGGCCCGGCTTTTGCCTGGGACCATGTCGATCTCATTCAAAAGTCCAGGTTTGTCTCCAAACCAGCCAAATAGCTGCTGCAAAGTTCTCACCAATCTTACAGAAAGTCGATGAAGGAGGCAGTGTTTGGAATCTATATGGGTGGCACCAAACACGATGTTGTCGTGTCCCCATCCATGGTCAACTCGGTATTGGCTGCTCGGGGTACCTCCTCGACGGACTTGATCAATTATGCCCTTGAGAAAATCTTTGGCGACCGAGGTGTGATTCGTAAATTGAATCCCGTAGATCATCATACGCTCAACCACAATATTCCCAACCTTCTTATGCGGGAGCCTTTTTTGACCGAAGGCACTAGAACCGCTACCCGCCTGATTGAACGGGAGATCCCTAATTTGGTGACCAACTGCCGAAGCATCGTGGACCAGATGCTGTGGGAGCGCGGGAGCCAGGCTATTGTCGTTGACGGGGAAGACCCGCTTGCCTGCGAGGTGAACTTTTTCGCCCTCATCAGAAGATTCGTTGGACACGTCACTACGGCAATCTTCATGGGTGAGGCTATTCTTGAGGCTTTCCCTGCCCTGCTGGAAGATGTGTTCACGCTGGACAACCAGTTTGTGCCTTTGTCCATGGGCATCCCTCGGTTGGCCCACCCTGGGGTTTCTGCAGCGCATGTTGCCCGTAGACGGCTCCTCGATTCTCTTACAGAGTACCATCAGGCCTTTGTTGCTTGGGATGATGGGATTGATCCTGGACTCACGTTTCGAGATCTTGACGACATCTCGGAACCTATCAAGGAGCGGATTCGCAAATGCAAAGAGCTAGGACTTTCTGCAAGGTCTAGCGCACCTACACATCTATCCTTGCTTTGGGCGATGAACGGAAACTCCCCGAATATTGTCTTTTGGCACCTTCTCCGGATGTATGCCAGCCCTACGCTCCTGGAAGAGATTCGCAAGGAGGTCGCTCCTTATGTGAAAATTGTCCGGCAGGAGAGTGGCTTCGCTTTCCAAGAAGCCCCCAAGCTGTCAATCGATACAGATGCGCTGGTCAAATCGTGTCCTTTGTTGAAGGCAAGCTTCTACGAGACATTGCGCTTGGATTCAGCGCCTCTGTCGTTTCGGGGTGTTACCGCTGACCTAACCATCACGGAATCCGCTGAAGATGCCGCTATCGCTGGCGTAGCGCAGCCTCGATCATATGAACTCAAGAAGGGCGATACCGTGGCTATTCCCCACGCTGTTCTCCATACAGACCCCAAATACTTTGCGAACCCTCGTGACTATGACCCGATGAGGTTCATCTCGACCGACTCTGAAACTGGGCAGAGGAAAGCGAACGTGCACACCATCAAGCCATTTGGTGGCGGAGTATCTGGATGCAAGGGCCGTGCCTT